CAAACCCCCCCCCCCCCCCCCACGAATCTATGGGACCAAACTCAAGAGCAATCTAGAAAAGCCTTCCTTTTAGCTGTCATTACAGACGCTTGTGAAGTTATTAGACTTGCCACGTTTCAAAATGCTATTTATGGAAATTTATAATCTTAAATTAAGGGACTAATAACAAGACTTGTTTAGTTGCTAACCATGTGCTTAAAAGCTCTAATCGTGATTTGGGATGCACAAGGAACCAAAGCGACAGGTTGGAGCTCGAAAGAGGCAATAAATAAGCAAAAAACAGTTGAATGACTATAATTATATTGTTTTATAGTACATTTATGGAAAGTATTTTTAAATTTTACTCGACGTGATGAGTGTTTTCTGGACCGTCCACGTTGGCCTTTGTCATTGAATCTGAAGATTGTGGTGGTGATTAGTGTCTTAATCGAGTAATTAAGAATCTTTAATTGCTATTTTAAAGAACTAAAGATTTAGGCTTAGCTGTTTAGAGATTTGCATGCTTATAATTCACTACAGAAGGATCCACGGAGTTCTATTGGATTTTAAAACCAACGAATTTCAACAATCAACTGCTTTTTAGTGAACAAAAGCTACCACCACAATATCATTCAACTATTAGACTTGACAAAAGTTGAATTCAAGACAAGATGTCATATGTCTTGGTCAGAATTCTGTTTTACAAGAAAACTATAATCCAAATAAACACAAGTGATATGTGTAAATAAATGTCTACAGATAAGTTTTTCTTTTGATGAATAGTTATACGACTATTAACCACGGTAGCAATTTATTAATTTTGCACTAGATTAATTTCTTTAAAGGCACCCTTATTGAGGGTTCATGGAGGGGTTTTACACAGAAATCAAAAAAATAATAATAATAATAAATCTGATGAACTTGTGTCGTGCAGGGTCATTGGGGTGAATCCGAATCAATACTGTTTCGCGGACTCCACACCATGTGGTGACCCGCGATTGGTCCGTTATTAATTATTTTTTTTTGTAAAGCAAACGCAAAAAAAAAAGAATTTATGAACCTCCTCCCATCAGTTCACTGATTAGGGTGCTCTAAGATAGATAGAATAGTTAACGCGCGCACCTGTCCGACAAAGAAATGTTATTTACTAGTTTATTACTATATCACTAACCACTAGTGGTTAATTATTACTTTATCATAACAGAGCATAATATAGTTATAACTATTTGCTCATTGGTTAATGGTTAGTAGATGTGCATGGACTTTTTTTTTACTTTGTCGGTGAGGGCGACGTGAGACACGGAGTGACTTGTGTACCGATTGTTTTCATAAAGCATTTTGAGCGTTGTCCCAAAAAGAAGGGGAAAAACATTTTGCGTTTGCTTTATTAGGGTTGCTAACCTCTTAGAGCACGTTTATCGCTGGAAAAAAGGCAGCGCTTAGCACATATGGTCCCACAAAAAGAAGAAGCTTCGACGCCTCCAGCTCCCGTGCAAGCGTTCTTTTTCTTCGGTGCTTCACTATTTTGCGGGCCCCACTGACACGTGGTGGCCCGCAATTGGTTGTCTTTTAATTTTTTTTTTTTTTTTAAAAAAAATCCAAAAAAGAAGAAAAGTAAAAAAAAAAAATTTCTAAGCACCCCCAAATAAGAGTTTCACGATAAACGGGCTCTTACCTTGATAATGAAACTGTGAAAAGATTATCATTGATAAAACGTGGGTTAATTCTTTCAAACTTTTTAGTGATTATTATTTGAAAGAAACGCAAAAAGACATGTGAGAGCTAACTCAATTTTTGTATTTGATAAAACAAGTTTCATAACTATTTTTTTTATTTAAAAGTTGCTGCTATTTGGATATATAAAAGAAAATAGAGTCTAATCTCGACATTAAAAATCTCAAAACTAGATTAGTTGTCGGTCATGAGGAATAGTTGGATTTCGACCCAAACACCTTAAGGTCGAAAACGGTATTATTATATATATACGAGAGCGGGTTCTACATGTGAGCAGCTATAAACAAGATCGCCTACATTAGGTAAATGACACTAAAAAAAAATACACTATAAATCATAGGCCTTTCTCTTCCTCAACACAACTTCTCACAGCTCACAAAAAGTGAGACAAATTACAGAGAGAAAGATAGAGATCCAAGAACATGAGCCACACGGTGGATGATCAAAACATGGCTTTTATCTCTCATCTGTACCCTGATGTATACACTCAGATAGTACCGCAAGGTTTGTCCGGAATTTTTTAATCGATATTTGTATGAATTTAGAAACAAAAACAAAACAAATTTAATAATTTTTCTAAATTTACAAGTGAATTTTTAGTTATCTTATCTAAAATTCCAGTTTCTTTTTTAATCCCTCCACAAAATTTCAAGGAAGAAATTCTATAAATTCTTTATCTATTTGAGTCTTTCCCAAAAAAGAAGTTTTCACCAACACGGGTACACCTAAAGTATTGATATAATCTACGTGCATGTAATAAGAAACTAAAGAGTAAAAATAAATCCACACTCTCTTTACATGTTTCTGTTTTTAGGGAATTACTAATTTGCTTGTTATTTTGGTCGGTAGGAGAAGTGAAGCCACCGAAGCGAAGGAGGAAGAAGAGCAAGAGAGCGGTGGCTGCCGGAGATGGAAGCAACTGCTTGTTTAGGAAGAGAAAGCTTACTGATGAGCAAATGAACATGTTGGAGGTGAGTTTTGGTGATGAGCACAAGCTTGAGTCGATGAGGAAAGATAAACTTGCGGCGGAGTTAGGGCTTGATCCTCGTCAAGTTGCCGTTTGGTTTCAGAATCGTCGTGCACGGTGGAAGAACAAAAGGCTCGAGGAAGAGTACAACAAACTCAAAAACTCACATGATAACGTCGTTGTCGACAAGTGCCGACTTGAGTCAGAGGTATCATTTATTGTCTATATGTCTCATTACATTCGCACAACATAAGTATACTTTTATGAGTTCCTCCGTACAATGCTATAATGTTTTTAATACTCATTAGTCTTTGTTAATGGGACTCAAAACTATAGAGCAGATCCACTAACAAAAACCCTTTTTATTTGGAAATTAATCAAATGTTTGCATGGTGATTAGTTGCTTAATATTTACATATTCTCTCAGGTTCTTCAGCTCAAGGAACAACTCTATGATGCAGAGAGAGAGATCCAAAGACTGGCAGAAAGAGTAGAAGGAGGCTCTAGTAGCAACAGTCCAGTTTCTTCTTCAGTCTCCGTTGAACACAATGAAACGCCGTTTTTTGGAGACTATAAAGTTGAAGAGGACGGTGACGACTACGATAACATGGTTTATCCGGTGCCGGAAAACACCTACATGGATGGAGCGGAATGGATTAATTACCAGCTTAATATAATCTTTTAATTTTATCAGTGAAAGTCGCGAATTAGGGAATAATATTTTAAGTGAATCAATTAATAGACTATATAGTTGCTGAATTTCTTATTTACAAATAAATATAACGCCGATATATTTCATGCTTGTGTAATTTGGCAGTCTTGTATGCATGTAAGCAACATTTGCTCATGTAGTTATATTGAGCCACTTTCTCTGGCATATTGATTCGAAGCAAAATCTGTAGTAGTTAATTAATTTTTAATTAAATACTCCCTCCGTTTCATAATAAGTGTCGTTATAGAGATTTTTTTTTTTGCTACAAAATAAATGTTGTTTTCGGTTTTCAATAGAAAATTTATTACTTTTATTTTGTAACTTATTTTTCTATTGGTTAAAATGTGGTGAGGTGTATAGGTAATTGTGTTTTTATACATAAAATATACAAAATTAATTATTTCCTTAATCCGTGTGCACAACTCTAAAACGATAATTATAATAAAACAGAGGGAATAAGTAACTAAAGTTGTAAATTAATTAACTTGGGTTTTCACTTCACTCTTTTGTGGGTTTGACCTTATTCATATAAAATTATGTGTGCCATATATAAGTCATGTTCGTTTTTCTAACGTAGCGTCAGCGGCAGTGACCAAAAATTAACAAACAGATATGAGAAATTTTAATGGTGTATTGTTATACAGTTACCGCCGGCAACTGCTACTGTTCTTCTACTCTATATTTTTGTTACCGCTGTAAAAAACAGTGTCTCCCGCACATACGATGATGTGTCTCGGCAGCGAAAGTTAACGGCTGTAACTGGATGTCAATTAGAAGAATAAATGGAGTTAAAGGAATGATAATTAATGGAATCCAATGGAATGGAATTGTTATTCTATTCATTGTAGAGCTATTTTGACGTGAAATGATTTTTCAAATATGTGTTGTTATTTTCTTTGGAATGACAAGGAATAAAATGGAATAAAATGGAATTGTCTTTTCATTTTTTTAAGGGAAGACGCTCTATTTCCCCCTGAGAAGTATCATATATCACCAGACCCACACAAACTTTGGCTCTCGTTCTATTTCCACACAACTACTATGTTTAAATCTCCTTTCTCCCCAGAAACCAAAGTTCGAAGTCTCTATCTCCATATCACCGATTTTACTGGTTTTTTGGGTGAACCAATATTAAACCGAAATAAACCTTTTCAGACATAACCAAACCCAGTTTAATAAACCGAGTCATGACCCACCCGACCCGAAAACATTGTCTTTCTATTTCTTCACCAGAAACTTATTTCGTGAGGAACCCTAAAAATCAAATTGGGAAAATTGAATTGGGAGAGAAAAGAGAAATTGAAAGATGCATGATGTTTCTGGAGCTTCAAGTGGATCGTCAATGACTCGTCCATGGAGAAGGATCGTGGGTGTCCCAAAACAGTGTTGGCGCGGATATGAAGTGAAGACATTCATGTTAAAATCTGACAAAAATCTGTACCATCGTTACCATAGGTGTTCTTTTTCTGCTGCTGGTGGAAGTAAAATGGAACATGAAGAATTCGTCCCTACGTGAGGGATTCGAGTTCTCACTACTTGTAGACATGATTCCGACATCCAATCAGCCAGAATCCTAGAAATCATCGTTGAGTTTTTGTAGAAATCGTCGTCGGCTTCTTTTTTTCTTTCGTTCGTTTTCTGGGGAAGAACTAGGGTTTGCTGAAACAATTGGGGATTTGGGGATTTTTCTTATATTCGGATTAAGAAATTAACAATTGGGTCTTAATCAGGTTTAATTCAAGTATAATCGGATCTCAGGTGGATAACTTTGGTTTACAGTTGGGTAACAATGAGTTACGGTTTAATATAAACAGTAAACCGAGTTTAATACAAGCGTATGTGTATTTCGGTCATTAACTTGGACGGTATGGAGATGGAGACTTCGAACTTTGGTTTCTGGGGAGAAAAGGGATTTAAACATAGTAGTTGTGTGGATATAGAACGGGAGCTAAAGTCTGTGTGGGTTTGGTGATATATGATACTTCTCAAGGGGAAATAGAGCGTCTTCCCTTTTTTTAATTTAACTAGTGAACATTTTGTTGTGTTCAAAAAAAAAAAAAAAAAAACTAGTGAACATTTTGTGGAATGAAAAGGAATTGATTATTCCGGAAGTTTTTATTCCAAAAAAATACATTCCAGTTGCAGCCAACATCTTTTAACTTTCTATTCTGATTGGCTGCTGAGCTGTCATTAAAATTCTTTTGCATTTTTTGATCACTCCCTAGTTGACGCAGCATTCTCGGAACGAACATGGCTATAATATTTGTTACTAATCCCTTATATACTAAATCACAAGTCAGCTAACCAATTACATTTTGACACATAAGAAATGTTTAATAAAATTTTAAAAAAATCAATTAAAACAATATAATGCTTAGAAAAAAAAAAAAAAAAAGAAAAATCAGAAACCGTAGACAGTTTCCCACGACCCATGATTCTTTTTTGCCATGATCTTTCTCTTTTCCATATTCTAAACCTTCATTCAATAAACAAATACCAGAGAAATCTTCAATTGCTCAAAACCAAATACCAAAAGCCTATGATCCTTTTTTGATTTCAAAACCCTAACTCATTTCGTGGCCATATGGAATATCCTGACCCAGTACATAGTTCGATTTCTATGTAACTGGATCTCAACAACCAGTCTTTTTCAGTGACACTATCTCCTTTCGTTTAACAGTTTTGTTTGCTTCGACGGAGCACTACATTGCCTCATCAAAACCAGTTTGAGTCTACAGGTTTTGTTTAAAAAAAAGGCCTAGAGGTTTCGTGAAGGAATGGAGTGACTTGAATTGCTAGAGATATAACCGGAGCAAAGCAACAATGGGACGAAAAAAGCAAGAACGTTGAAGAAGGTGGAAAGTAGACTAAATGCAGATACAATCATGACAGATGGAATAAGGGCTTTCGGAAAAGGTAAATGCACTTCCATTCATTTACCATAAAATGATTAGTGTAATATAAAAATGTTCTTCTCTATGATAGGTTTTACATCAAAATGTCGATAGAAAACATCATTCATATATTGTGGTGAGTACTGAGTACTTTGATTACTTTTGTTGCTAAAACCGTACTTTAATCTTTTTCTCTATAGTTATAATTGTAATGTTTTATATATTCAATAAATTGGATTATGTATGATATTAGAGGTCATAGGAGCATGAAGTCTTGGAGATGGCAAAAACAGTAACGTTAATTAAATTGTAAGACAAAACTAAAAAAGGTATATATTAGCAACTTATTTTTTGTATTGTTGCAGTCTTTGCGATACACAATTTGTTTTTAGATGTTTAATATATCAATACACATGCAGTGAAAAAGGATTTTTTTTTATAACTCTATTGCATCAGTTATATTATCTTTCTATGATGTTGTTTAAAAAAAAATCTCTTTCTTTTATCAGTGATACACAGACTTGATGTTCGTCTCCAAGAATAAATTATGAGTTCGTATAATTTTTTTGTTCTAGCATGATATGTTTCGATCACTCTTTTCACTACTTCTATGGCTTTTTCTATGTCTGTCAAGCCCCACTCGCTGACATGCAAAGTTTTTTTTCCAGAAAACTCAAGATTATTTTTCTTTTCAAACCCAAAATTCTACGCCAAAAGAGAAAAGCAGATATATTGAAGTAAATAAAAAGAGTGATATCGAAGTAGTTCTCTTTCTTAAGTTAATTAGTCTTCAATAACCTCTTTTTATGTTTAGTGTTTGCATACTTTGAAAATTGTTTTCCATCACTAATAATTGAATCATGCAGATATCAAAAGATATGGAGAGAGCAGAATATATCTCTACCTAAAATGGCTTACCAACAAATATAGAATAACAGGTACACAAGTCTATTTTACTAACATTTATCATTAGACATATCTTACTTTCATGGTTTCTTCCAAATTGATATTTATTTATTTCTTCTGGCAAAAAAAAACAAGTCATGACAATATAACACCTATAGTATCATTCTTTTAGTGATTTATGTTGAAAGGTTATTTGAATAGCAAGTATATCTTTTTGGTTACCAAATGGTCCAAATCAATATATTTTAAAATTAATATAAAAGTAGAAAACTAAAAAAATTTCTTTTTACATAAGAAATATAATATTTTCAAATAAGAATTGCATAATTGATATTTTATACTCACTCTACTCTAAAAAAATTAGAATTTGGCTAAATATTCACAATCTTGAGAAGAAATTATCAGGATGGGAGCGGAAATGAATACAATGATATGCTTTAGTATAGACTGTTGTGTGTTTGTAAAGCAAGTAGATCAATTCTATGGTCGAAGTCAAAATTGAGTTCTTCTTTTTTTTAAAAAAATTGAAAATCGAGTGTAGTTAAATTTAAACACATTAGTCACAAAAGTATAAATATCTAATTCCTTATTTAGTCATGTTTCTCAATAAATGAGAGAGTTTTTTATATTTGCATAATTATCATGGGAACTATTGTAGGAGAAACATAACCAGAGCTACGTAAACCTTGCAATCAATATAAATGAAAAAAAAATATTAAAACCAATAAATCAGATAAAATGTTATTAATAATTAGTGAGTCCAGAAAAAGGAAGAGACGGTTATTAACTCAAATGCATACGTTGTCTGCAAATTTGCAATACATTTGGGTATTAGCATGAATCCATCAATAAATTTTGCTATAAATCATACTATTTTAACATAACAAAATAATCATCTTCTTTTCCCGTACGTAGTACGGGGTGCAATACTAGTTTGTTACTAATTTGTAATATATGTACACTTAACATAAAAGCATATGTACATGTTTAATGAAACCTCGTTCGGTTAAAGTTATGAAAATTTCTGGATCAAACGTTTGTTGAATTTAATAGTTCTGTTGATGGGTATAAGATTCATTCATAAAGTGACTAAGACATATATACCGTAATTAAGACCTTTTCTTAATAGTATCTAGAAGCTAATTAATGATTTTCTTCATATAAGTATTTTTATCAACCAACAAAAAAAGGATGGATCAAATATGCGATGCAGGATTCAAATATTCCTGTTTATTTCTTTTAATATATTGCACTAGTCTAGAAGATGAATGACTAAATGACATGAACAAAACAAAATAGTTGTAAATTAAACGTTTTAACTTGATGAATAAGAGAGTTTGACAAATTCAATAAAGGGGCGTTCGG